CTTAGAACCAGAGGGATGGTGCAGGCTTCTGTGCCTCAGTTTCCCCAAGCCTACCTGCTGCCGCCCAACTACCACCAAGGCCTCTCAGCTTGGATTTGGGAGGTGGCGCCTGGCTGGCACCAAGGAGGTCTAGAGACTGGGTGGTCTGCAGGCCTTCAAAGTGTGGCTTTTGTCTTGCTGCTCTGACACAACTGGTCTGTCCTCATTCCAGGAACAGGGCTGGGGGTGGGGTGACCTCTGACCTGACAGCAGCCTGGCCTACTGGGTCCCCAGGGAGGGGAGGAGGAGAGGAGAGGAGGGTGAGGCCTGTGAGGGGGCCTGACTGCAATCCAGCAGTCCTGCCCTGGGGCACCGCCTGGACCTGTTCCAGCCTGAGCATCCACCCTGTCCCTTATCCCCATTGGCACAGTGGGTCCTCTGCAAACCATACCAGCTGTGGGCCCACCTCTGCCCTGGAATCTGGAATTTGGAAATTTCCAGGCCAGCCTTCCCAGGATGAGGACACAGACCCTTTAGCTCCGAGGAACCCCCAGTTTGCACGTGGGGAATAGGCCCAGGGGTGTGCAGTGACCTGCCCCAGGGCTCAGAAGTGCCAGTTTCAAGCCCCGAGTTGCTGTTTAAAAGGGCCACCTTGGCCCACCCCCTGGTTCTGCAGCGTGCTGGATTTCAGCATGCAAAGAATTGGTTTTGGGAAAAAGCCGAAAAGGTATTTTATTTTGGTGTTTGAGAAGGGTAATTTATCACTGGAGGTATCTTATTTCTCTTATTCACACTTTAAAAAACATTTGAGAAACCTGGGGTCATCCACTGGTTATGGTGGTGGAAATCAGAAACAGCTGGTTCTAGTTCCAGTACAGTTTGGACTAGGTCAGTGATGGCGAACCTATGACACGCGTGCCAGAGGTGACACGCGAACTCACTTTTTTGGTTGATTTTTCTTTTGTTAAATGGCATTTAAATATATAAAATAAATATCAAAAATATGTGTTTTACTATGGTTGCAAATATCAAAAAATTTCTATATGTGACACGGCACCAGAGTTAAGTTAGGGCTTTTCAAAATGCTGACACGCCGCGCTCAAAAGGTTCGCCATCACTGGACTAGGTGGCCCCAGCCTCAGTTTCCCCATTTAGCTAGTGCTGGGGTTTGAGACCCCTAGCTCTCCTCAACCTACAAAGTCCTTCCGTCTCCTATTACCCAGGAAAAAATTAAATGCAGGTTTCCCACTGCCCACAAGGCCCTCGATGGCTAGCGCCTCCCCGCCAGGGCCTGGCTGTAGGGCCTTGGCACTGCCTTTGCCCACCTCTCTCTTCAAGTGGTTAGCTCCCCGCTTCAAAGACACCTCCTCCGGGAAGCCCTTCCCTCCCCGTAACCGCTGCGCACTGTGGCCCCGGGGCTGGGAGCGGCCCACACTCCGCCTCCCGGCCCACGGCTCCCGCCTGCCACCTGGTGGCCGGAACCGGGCCTGCGGGATCCGGGCGCCCCGCCCAGCGGCACGAGGGCCACGCTCGGCATCCAGTTGCAGGCACCGCTCAGCGGGCGCCCCCGGTGCTGCTGGCGGACACACTGCCCCAGGCAGCCACGTCTCCCCGGCGGGAGATTTCTATTTTTTAAGTGATTTCTCCCTTTTCAAAGATTAGCAACTAATTCCACATTTTAAAGTAGTTTTCAGACGCGGCCGGGACAGCAGCTGTGACCTGAAGTTAGGCGCCCCCGGCTTGTTTGGCCTGCACCAAGTTCATAAGCTAAAAATGTGGATTTTGTAGCCTCCCGCCCAAGAAGGGTCCGGGGGTAGGCTGATGGCGGATCCCTGAGTACGCACTTAATTGCAATGTATTAGGTGCCACCAAATATGTCGGTACGGAGTCTGCACTTGACGCCTGTGAGGTCGGTACTTTATTATTTGCGTATTAAAAATAAGCAAAGAATCCGAGCGCGCCAAGCGTGAGAGACAAGCCCGGCTTCCAAGCTCTGAACCGAACCGACTAACTGATCGCAGAAGACCCTGGGCCTTGATTTCTTTTCCATCTAGTTTCCATCTAGTCTCCTACCAACATCTTCGGTCAGACGTTGCGCCCCTGGATTCTTAGCGGGTCCGGGGTGATGGGGGGGTCCAATTAACCGGGGAGTTCGCCCTCCAGCCGCCGGAGGCGGGACAGCGTGGGCGCCGCTCTAGCACTCCGCCCGCATCTTGCTGGTGTGACGCACTTCCGGGGCGGGGGGAGAGGAAGATGGCGGCGCCCGTCGAGGTAGCCGTGTGTACAGACTCGTCCGCCCAGTTGTGGAGCTGCGTCGTATGGGAGCTCCACTCGGGCGCTAACCTGCTCACGTACCGCGGCGGCCAGGCTGGGCCCCGTGGTCTGACGCTGCTCAATGGCGAATACCTGCTGGCGGCGCAGCTGGGCAAGAACTACATCAGCGCCTGGGAGCTGCAACGGAAGGTGCGGCGGCGCGTGCCAGGGCTCCAAGTCCGCTGGGGGTGCGCGGGACGCCTTAGACTGGGGTCGCCGGGGGTCGGCCCACGCCCGGAACCGGGAGGAAGCCCTGGTTAGGGTGCTCTGCGCATGCGCGGGTGGTGGTGGTGGTGGTGGGCTTACTGGTCGAAGGGAGGTGCGCGTGCCCCGAGCGGGCTGGGGGATGAGGGTGCGGGCCTGAGGCTGTTGCCCAGGCGCTTGCGGGCATGAAGGGATGGGGAGGTAGTGGGTCCCTAGAGAGAGCTGTGCGAAAAGGGGCGCGAAGTTTTGTGGTTGGTTTTTAAACTAGGATCTATCTACTGACTCTGCAGTGGTATTTTTAAACGTTGATTAGAGAGAGAGAGAAACATAGGTTTGCTCCACCCAATTTTTGTTGTTAATCTCCACCCGAGGACATTTTTTT